TGAGAAAGCACTAACCGCCCGAGAGATCAGTGCATTTTCCCGTCTCGCCTGAGACGGTCGAGAAATACGAAATCTAACTTGGCAATCAAGAAAACCTTTCAACGTCGACGTAAACTGTCATACAATCAAAGAAAAACAGGAGAAACTCTTCTCAGCTACCTTATCAAAGACCGTCAACATGACAAACAAGCAAAATCCAGAAGAAATTTCAGCGCTTGACTCAAGCAAACATGGCGACTCGCTAAACTCACTCGGGAAACCCAACTCCATTATCGAAGCACTCTCGCTTATGACTAAACAACTAGTGTCCTCTATTACCACACTCAACTCCTCAATGGACCACTCATTTACTGAGATGAATGAGACTTTAGGAAACCTCGCATACGTCGAGGAATCTGCCAATGAAGAAGGCTCGGTAAACTCTGACGCGGAGAAAGAGACCGACAAGACGCCAAACAAAGACAACGCTAGCACTAAGGATCAAAACCTATCGGGGTGCAGCACCGCTAATAACCTTAAAAATTAGCTGACGTTGACAAATAGAGCACCAGAAATTTCTCAGGTTTTTTTGAGGGACAACCTCTATCAATATGTGTGTCTACCAAATGGGTTAAGCTCTGCACCCCGTATGTTTACCAAGCTGCTCAAACCTGTGTTTAAAGTCCTTAGAGAAAAAGGCCTCTTCTCATCTGCATACATAGATGATCTTTATCTGCAAGGAGATACCTTTCATGAGTGTCTTGAAAATGCCTTGAATACAGTGCAACTGCTTAGAGATCTTGGATTTGTAGTCCAAGAGGAAAAGTCTTGTCTGCATCCCTCTCAACAACTCGAGTATTTGGGCTTTGTCCTGAACTCAGTGTCAATGACGGTACGACCCTCTCATGCTAGAGTTGAAAAGGTGGTCCAAGCATGTGAAAAGCTTCTCAGTAACTCCCATCCCACCATACGTCATCTAGCAGAGGTTATTGGGCTTATGGTCTCCAGCTTCCCCGCCAGGGAACATGGCCCATTACACTACCGTAGCCTTGACATTGAGAAAATTGAGGGTTTGAGACAAACTAAAGGCAATTTCTCTAGTGAAATATCTCTATCTGTTAATTCAAGAGAGGAACTGCAGTGGTGGATTGCAAACCAACTTTTTTCCTGTAAAGCAATCTCACATGGTGAAGCTGATATAGTAATCCAAACTGATGCCTCTTCTCGAGGTTGGGGAGGGGTGCATGGCGACCAGAGAGCAGGGGGTAGATGGACCCCCACAGAAGCACTAAATCACATCAATTACCTTGAAATGCTCGCTATATTTTTATCCCACAAAGCTTTGTGTGGTGCACACAAAAATGAACACATCCAGGTACAATGTGACAACACTACTGCAGTGTCCTACATAAATAACATTGGTGGAAGTAAACCCATTCCATGTAATGAGGTAACTAAACAAATCTGGGCCCTGTGTATTGCTAATAATAACTGGCTCAGTACTACATATTTACCCGGATGTAAAAATGTAGAAGCTGATGCAGAATCTAGGTATTTAATGACCGCACAGAGTGGATGTTAGATCCAC